GTGATGGAATTCCAGTTGAGCTATTTCAAATCCTAAAAGATGATGCTGTGAAAATGCTGCACTCAATATGCTAGCAAATTTGGAAAACTCAGCAGTGGCCACAGGACTGGAAAAAGTCAGTTTTCATTCCAATTCCAAAGAAAGGCAATGCCAAAGAATGTTCAAACTACCCCACAATTGCACTCATCTTGCATACTAGCAAAGTAATGCTCAAAATTCTCCAAACCAGGCTTCAACAGTACATGAATCATGAACTTCCAGATGTTCCACCTGGTTTTGGAAAAGGCAGAGGGACCAGAGATCAAATTGCCAACATCCATTGGAGCAAGAGAGTTCCAGAAAAACATCTATTTCTACTTTATTGACTATGCCAAAGCCTTCGACTGTGTGGATCATGATAAACTGTGGAAAATTCGGAAAGAAATGGGAATACCAGACCACCTGACCTGCCTCTTGAGAAACCTGTATGCAGGGCAGGAAGCAACAGTGAGAACTGGACATGGGACAACAGACTGGTTCCAAATAGGAAAAGGAGTGCGTCAAGGCTGCATATTGTCACCCTGCTTATTTAACTTATATGCAGAGTACATCATGAGAAATGCTGGGCTGGAAGAAGCACAAGCTAGAATCAAGATTGCCGGGAGAAATATCAATAACCTCAGATATGCAGATGACACCACCCTTATGGCAGGAAGTGAAGAGGAACTAAAAAACCTCTTGATGAAAGTGAAAGAAGAGAGTGAAAAAGTTGGCTTAAAGCTTAACATTCAGAAAACTAAGATCATGACATCTGGTCCCATCACTTCATGGGAAATAGATGGGGAAACAGTGACAGACTTTATTTTTTTGGGCTCCAAAATCACTGCAGATGGTGACTGCAGCCATGAAATTAAAAGACGCTTACCCCTTGGAAGGAAAGTTATGAGCAACCTAGATAGCATATTAAAAAGCAGAGACATTACTTTGCCAACAAAGGTCCATCTGGTCAAGGCTATGGTTTTTCCAGTGGTCATGTATGGATGTGAGAGTTGGACTGTGAAGAAAGCTGAGCGCCACAAAATTGATGCTTTTGAACTGTGATGTTGGAGAAGATTCTTGACAGTCCCTTGGACTGCAAGGAGATCCAACCAGTCCATTGTAAAGGAAATCAATCCTGAATATTCATTGGAAGGACTGATGCTGAAGCTGAAGCTCCAATACTTTGGCCACCTCATGCGAAGAGTTGACTCATTGTAAAAGACCCTGATGCTGGGAGGGATTGGGGGCAGGAGGAGAAGGGAACGACAGAGGATGAGATGGCTGGATGGCATCACCGACTCGATGGGCATGGGTTTGGGTAGACTCTGGGAGTTGGTGATGGACAGGGAGGTCTGGCGTGCTGCAATTCATGGGGTCGCAAAGAGTCAGAAACAACTGAGCGACTGAACTGAACTGATATAGATATATATAAATCTTTTTATATTTATCCATATAGAGATTTATATAGTTTTAGCTCTTACAGTGACAGGGAGGCCTGGTGTGCTGAAGTCCATGGGCTCAAAAGAGTCAGACATGACTGGGTGACTGAAAAACAACCACAGCTCTTACATTTAGGTCTTCAACCCATTTTGAGATACTTTTTGCTTGTGATTGCAGGTAAGAGCTCAACCTCAGTTACTGCAGACCCATTTGCTGAAGAAACTTTTTTCTCCTCATGAATGGTCTTGGTACCTTGGCCAATCAGCCAACCATAGATGTACAAGATTACTACTTAACTACACTACACTGATTTATATGTCTATAAATTTCAGGACTTCCTGGTAGTTCAGTTGGTAAAAATTCTGCCTGCAATGCAGAAGACCCCGGTTCAATTCCTGGGTCAGGAAGATCCCCTGGAGAAGGGATAGGCTACCCACTCCAGTATTCTTGGGCTTCCCTTGTGGTTCAGCTGGTAAAGAATCTGCCTGCAGTGCGGGAAACCTGGGTTCATTCCCTGGGTTGGGAAGATTCCCTGGAGAAGGGAATGGCTACCCACTCCGGTGTTCTGGCCTGGAGAATTCCATGGACTATGTAATCCCTAGGGTCACAAAGAGTTGGGCACGACTGAGTGACTCATGTTCACTTATGGTTTTACCCATGGGTTTGGGTAGACTCCGCGAGTTGGTAATGGACAGGGAGGCCTGGCGTGCTGCGATTCGTGGAGTCACAAAGAGTCGGACACAACTGAGCAATTGAACTGAACTGAACTGAAATCAGGAAGTATGAGTCCAATAATTCTGTTGTTCTTTTTTCAAGATCATTTTTACTACTTGGGGCCCCTTGTAATTCCAAGTGAATCTTAGGATAAATTTTTCCATTTCTATTAAAACAAAAAGTTGTTGGAATCTTAGCTAACTGCTTTGGTTAGAATGTCCAGTAAATTTGTTGAATAGAAGTGGTAAAACAACACGCTTTGTCTTGTTCCTGGTCATGAGAGAGATGTCTTTCACCACAGAGTATGATGTCAATTGTGGGTTTTTCATAAATGCTCTGTTGAGGAATTTCCCTTCTTGTCTTAGTTTGCTGAGTATTTTTATTATGAAAGGGCATTGGACTTTGTCAAATGATTTTTCTGTGTTAATTTAGGTGATCATTGATACTATTCTTTCATTCTATCGATGTGGTGTATTATATTGATTGATTTTTGTATGTTGTACCACCTTTGCATTCGGGGATAAATCCCATTTGGTGAGGTTGTTGGTGGTAAGTTTAGTCGCTAAGTTGTGTCCAACTCTTGCGACCCCATGGACAGAAGCCCACCAGGCTCCTCTGTCCATGGAATTTCCCAGGCAAGAATACTGGAGTGGGTTGCCATTTCCTTCTCCAGGGGATCTTCCTGACCCAGGGATTAAACCTGGGTCTCCTGCATTGCAAGCAGATTATTTACTGACTGAGCCACAAGGGAAGTCCTTGGTAAGGTTATATAATCCTTTAATTATACTGCTGAATTTGGTTTGTAATATTTTATCAAGAGTTCTCTTTTTTAGACCTAAATTATTCTTTCCTAAGTAAGCTGCACTCTTTTTTTTTCTTATTAAGCAGAATTAACCAAAACAAATATTTGATTGTGTTTTCTTCACCTTTCTTCCTAAGTCTTCTTGAGGAGGTGACTTTCAAACCGTATATAGATAGCAGAATGCTGGAAGTGGTAAATATTATTCTTATACCCATTTCTGTCTTGAGCTTTTCCAACACTTGTAGGGCTTGGTACAAGAGTGCAAGTGGAGACTGTGTCTGAGTGGTCTGAGTGTGTGTGTGAAAGTAAGTCAAGCTGACAAATAACCAAGCACCATGATCAGCATACCTGCATGAAGACCGCAATGCCTGGTGATGCCTAGAGAGTCTGGGAGCTGTGGATGGTGCATCTGCTCAGCCCTGTGGCTCAGGGTTGGTTCAGAGGGCCCAGAGCAGTTCATTTCCCTGGAAGGAAAGACGAGAGGGCAGGGAGAAGCAGTGTGAGGGGAGAGGGAAGCGTGTGTCCTCATCAGATGTCTTCCCGAGGTGGGCAGGCTGAGGCTCGTCCTTCCAACCAAGATAATCAGACACTGCAGTCTTAGTGCACAGTGAAATTCAGCTCGTAGGTCAATGGAGAGGAGCTGGGCCCTGCTCCCCCCACATAGGCCCCTGGGGGAGCATGAAGTGGGCCCTGGGCTCAGGCCTGGACCACAGGCAACCTCGGCTTCTCCCACAACTCCCATCGTGGGAATCGGGGCAGAGCAGATTGGGGGCTGGGGAGGGGGCTGTGTGCGTTGCCATAGAAAGTACCACTCAGCAGATAGTTTAAACAACAGCAGTGTTTCCTCATGGTTCTGGAGGTCAGAAGTCCCAGAGCAAGGTGTCTACAAGGCTGGTTCCTCCGGAGGTGGCCTCCTCTGCTTGTAGGTGAAGGCATTCTCCCCACTGTGTCCTCACTTGGTCGTCCCTCTGTGTATGTGTGTCTTAATCGCCTCTCCTCATAAGGACCCCGTCAGATTGGATTAGGGTCACCCCAACGACTCCATTTGAACTTAACACTAGTTGCTCAGTCATGTCCAACTCTTTGCAACCCCGTGGACTGTAGGCTGCTAGGCCCTTCTGTCCATGGGATTCCCTAGGCAAGAATACTAGAGTGGGTAGCTATTCGCTTCTTCTGGGGATCTTCCCAACCCAGGGAGTGAACCCAGATCTCCTGTGTTACAGATGGTTTCTTTACTGTCTGAGCCACCAGGGAACCCATTTGAACTTAATTAGCTCTTTAAAAGCCCCCTCTCCTAATCCAGGCCCATCCTGGCATCCTGGAGGGTTGGGGCTCCCATAGGTGCAATCTGGAGGGGCCCAATCCAGCCATCACAGACGGTGTGGGCAGCTCTGTACACCGTGATCTCTTGGGGAAAGCCTGGTGACGTCCCCCCAACAGGAGGAAGTCAGGGCACTGTACCACCCCGAGTACCCCCCACCTTGATCTGCAGGCATAAAACCCAGCTGTCCTCGGGGGGGACCTCTGTCTCCCCAAAGCAGTGGCAGCGTTGGAGGGGATCATGTCTGGAGAAGCCGGAAGAACTCCTAATCCTTAGGTTTTCAAAGAAAATGCACCTTGGTGTTCACCGTGGTTCTAAAGAAGCATCAGATTCTGCAGAAAGAAACCATTTCCTGCTGGGTCCCCAGGGTACTGGGGGAGGCTCCAGGCCTGGCAGGGATGGAGGGTTTTCATTCACCAGAGCCACAGCACTGGTCCCCTCCGGGGTGAGGCTGGCAGGGCTCCAAGGTGTCCTGCACAGGGTGGGCTGGACACAGGGTTGCTTTCAGAGGACCCAGTTCACGGGGTCGAGCAGCAGCAGGCAGTATCTGTGTGGACAGGCGGCTGGTGAGATGGGGCATTCTTCTGGATGGGGGCAGCTTCTTCCTGGTCTGTTTCATCTTATGACCTGAAGTCGCCCTCCAAGGTGACACCTCAAGGAGGTGTCCACGGGGCCGGAGACTGACCATGTGTTCTGTGCCCCCAGGATGAACGAGCGAGACCGGCTGCTAAAGAGGCTGAGCAGGAAGACGCCGCCCACCCTCTTCCGGGGCAGCTCCCTCCAGCAGTCCATGCCACGTGAGTAGCCCCCCGGGACAGGGGGGATGGGGGGAGCCTACGGCCAGGCTGGAGCCCCACATAGGGAAGTAGAATTGGTGTACCTGTCCCCAGGCAGGGACAGCCAGGTGGCAGGTAATTCCCCAGGACCTAGTCAAGTGTCTGAATGACATGGTCCATAAACTTAAAACTTGGATGTGGTTATGATCCTTGTGTCAGCCTCCCAGTCAGATTCTTTCTAAGATGGAAGTGATGTTGCCTTTGCCTGGTGCATCCCAAGGATGGCCCCATGCTCTTGGCAAACTAAGCAATGACAATCACTGGCCCCTGCCTCCCCTGGCCCCACAGGTGGAGGCTTGGCCTGGTTTCTGCCAAGTGGGGTCCACGGGGATGTGCCAGAGGCCAGGGGAGCGGGAGACACGAGAGTTCAGAGGGAATGGAGCTCAGGGAGGTGGTGGGCTTACCTGCCTTAGGACACCTGGCCGAGCCTCAGATCAGCGCAGTAACTGATCCAGCACCACCCAGGGCTCCAGAGCCCAGCCAGGGCCTCTGATCCTCGAGAGGGTGAGTCTGAAGGAGGTGGGGTGGTGGGCTCCCAGGTTCGGGGTTGCAACTTGGAGCTGGGCTGCCTGCAGTCCTGTCCCATCTCTGCCCCTCTGTGACCTCAGGTGAGTTAACGCCTCTGTTTCTAGACCTGTAAATCAGAGAGGACATGAGAACATACTTGGGTTACTGGGATGATTCTCTGAGGTTGTACATACAGAGTGCCTGGCACAGAGCCTAACAGTAAGGAGTCTGATAAATGCTAGGTATTACTTTTCTGCCACTAACTGAATAAGTTTGAGCCACTTACATATTTCTTTGAACATCTGTTTTCTCACCTGAGGGGAAAAAATGGAATGATGTCCATCTTACACAGTCTGTGAGGTCGCATGACGGTCGGAGCACAGCCTACGAGGAACAGGAGCGCTGGCTCCATAAACACAGGTCTTGTGCTGTGGAGCCTCTGACCAGAGAAAGGACAGACAGGAGAGCAAAGACCACTTTAGGACCCATTCGGTTCTCTGGCAACAACCGGAAAGGCTCTTAAAATAACTAAGAATTGGTTTCTGAGCTCTCCATATTTTGAAGGACAAAAAATTTTTTTTTTCTAATGAACAAGTACAAAGCATAGGCAAGCTGCTAAAATCACACCATGTTTTAAAGACAGTCAGCAGCTAATAGTAAGACCCTGATGGACAGGAGGGTGTTCTCATCACCCACCCCCAGAGAAGACCATCTTGCATCGGGAGCAGCCTCGGGCCTCAGTGTTCCCAGGAAACCAGGAGCCCAGGTCCTGGAGCGGTTGTTCCCGGGGACCGCACGTACATGGTGTCCACAGCCCAGGCTCAGTGCTCCCTGGCCGGTCTGATCTCTTTGCCGTCCCCCTGGTCTTCCCACATTCTCTGCTCTGAGGACTCTTCCAGACAGGAAACAGCTACTTTCCCTAAGATGTTATCAGAGCTCAGCGTCGAAGGAATGCTACTTAAGGGACGTTTCATTCCAAAATAATGAAAAAATGACCTGATTTTATGGACTTCCCCAAATGTCCTACCAGAAGAAGACAAAACAACTAAGCAGTGCGTCTGCCCTCCCACCTACCCGAACGCTGTCCTCAGGTCCCGGCTGCGGCTGAGGTCAAGGAAGCCGATGCACCAGCCATCAAGTGTGTTCTCCAGGCCCCCAGCATTCCTTCCCGGCTCTCAAGACTTCCTGGAGATGAATGATGGCGGGAAATGCTATGAGCCAGGGCTCCCCCCTTCCCCGTTTGAATGCAGATAGCAGTTACCTGTTCATCTGGCAGGAACTGTGAGCGATGGGGAATCTTGGTCAGGCTGGGCAGGCGGAGGCTGCCTGGGTGGTTACTGTCCTGGTGGTTCTGGTCTAACCCCTCCCAGGACTGGTTTCCAAGAGGAAAATGTTTATTTGAATCACAGAGCACCCTTGTTCCTAGGACCGCCATCCTTTCTTTCTTGCAAGTCCACTTAGCCTCAGTTGAGGCTGAGAACATCCTGGTGGATCCCCCTGGGGGAGCTGGTGGAGGGGACTCCAGGAGAATAGCTTTGCTGTCTGACCAGGAGCTTCCCTGGAAACCCTTCCCACCACCGAGGGGCCAAGCTATCCCACCGGATGGCCCTGTTCTCAGGAGCCCAGGAGGGCACTGCAGCTGAGTCCCCCAGGCGCAGGCAGGTCTGAACAGAAAACACGAAATAAAAGATAAGGCTGCAGCCCTTCCCCTGGAACAGGGAGTAGACCACTCCAGATGCTAAGGTCCTCTTCCCAACAGGACATTCCCAAGCAGTGTTTACTTGTACCTCTCAGCAAGCCCCCTTCACTCCAGCCCATCCAGCACTGGAGAAGATGCATTAAAACACAATTGCCAATTGTTTTGTCTGGGCTGGTTGTCAAGTCAGGCTCCTTGGTCACTGACCTGGAGTGGAGGCCTCCGTTGGGGACGCCAAGGGTAGAAGCAGTGCTGCCTGCAGGAGAGGGCTCTGTGGCCCGGGCACTGTCAGCCAGGGGCCCGTGCTGGCCCACATGGAAGACGAGGTGGAGACCTCGTCTGGTACAGCCCATTTATTTTATGGAAAAGTAAACCCAGCAGACCAAAACCTTAAAGGACACCAGTTCTGTGGCCAAGCAAGGACTGGAACCAGCCCTTCTCACCTGGGGCCTTGGCCCTGGGCTCCAGATCCCCTGTAAAGATGGGGTGGGGGGACAGCCAGCTTAGGATGGAGAGCCCCGTGGCTGCCTGCCTCCCCAGGTGTGGGAGCAGCACTTACATACTAAGTGAAGTAGGTCAGGCAGAGAAAGACAAATATCATAGGATGTCACTTACATGCAGAATCTAAAAAAGGCTACAAATGAACTTATTTACAAAACAGAAACAGAATCACAGAAAACAAACTCATGGTATGGGGGTGGGGGGAGCGATAGGACAGGAGACTGGGGCGGACGTGTACACACGTGTGTATATAAAATAGACAAACAAGAGACCTTACTGTATAGCACAGGGAACTCTGCTCAATACTCCCTAATAACCTAAATGGGAGAAGAGCTTAAAGAATAGATACATGTGTATATTAAAAAGCAGAGACATTTTACTTTGCCAACAAAGATCCGTCTACTCAAGGCTATGGTTTTTCCAGTAGTCATGTATGGATGTGAGAGTTGGACTATAAAGAAAGCTGAGAACTGAAGAATTGATGCTTTTGAACTGGGAGAAGACTCTTGAGAGCCCCTTGAACAGCAAGGAGATCCAACTAGTCCATCCTAAAGGAGATCAGTCCTGAGTGTTTATTGGAAGGACTGATGTTGAAGCTGAAATTCCAATACTATGGCCACCTGATGCTAAGAGCTTACTCATTTGAAAAGACCCTGAGGCTGGGAAAGATTGAAGGCAGGAGCAGAAGGGGTCTACAGAGGACGAGGTGGTTGGATGGCATCACCAACTCAATGGGCATGAGTTTGAGTAAACTCCGGGAGTTGGTGATGGACAGGGAGGCCTGGCGTGCTGCAGTCCATGGGATCACAAAGAATCGGACACAACTGAGCAATTGAACTGAACTGAACTGAAGACATGTATAATTAGGTCACTGTGCTGTCCACCTAAACCACAACACTGTGAATCAACTATACTTCAATATAAAATAAAAATTAAACAAAAAAGAAATCCAGGATGATACACAGGCAAAACTCCTGATTTCTTGTTCTCCTTTAAAGGATATGATGAGATAACAGCACCAGTGATAAGTCATAAACATGTGTGGATGGGAGGCAGGCTCTGGCCTGGGTTGTCTTTTGCTCAGAACGTCTTATCTGGCTGTGGGGCGTTTCTGGACCCCTGAGCCAGGAGGGTCGGTGAGCAGAGAGGCAGTCTTACAAATGTCCCTCCAGTGGGAAGGGCTGGTTAGGAGGGAGTGTCCTGCCTCGGGCTGGGAATGCAAACTCTGTCCCAGGAGCACAGGACAGAGCTGCAGGGGAATGTGGGCCCTGCCTGGGCTTGACTCCCAGCTCTGCCACCTTGGAAAAAATGACATCACCCGTGCCTCAGTTTCCCCACCTGTGACATGGGAAGAGCTCTCACCTGTCTCCTAGGGCTGTCAGGAGGAGGAAATAAGCCATGTGTGCTTAGCATAATACATACAACAGTGCCCGAGACACAGCATTTAATAATTGTCTGCTGTCATCATCATTGGAAGTGGGAGCTCCCTGGGGATCCAGTGGTTAGGAACTCCAGGCTGTCAATGCCAAGGGCCCAGGTTCAATCCCTGAGTGAGGAACTAAAATCTCACAAGCTTTGTGGCCAAAAAAGGGAAAAAATCATTATTGGTACTGGTTGTAAAATCTAGTTTTTATGTAGCCACTGGGCCAATCATTAAACTCCTCAACTTTATCTAGTGATCTTTTTCTTTATTTACACGAATACACACTCACGGTAATTTATTACCGGTCCAGATCCGTGCACGTCAGCCAGGCAGGCTCCCAGCACCATGTGTGCTCTGCCAGCCTTTCCTGTTAGTGTGTTTATGGCTTCATGAATTACCGACTGGCCTGCGGCTCGGGGCGCATTGGGATGTTTCCCGCACAGGACGACTTACCTTTCCCCTTGATGGGTGGTGGGAAAGTGCAGCCATGGCCCAGTGACCCACAGATGATGCCTCACAGGCTGCGCTAAATGAGCCCTGCCCAGCCGCGTCAGCACCCCCCCCTTCACGGGGGTCACAGGGCCCTGAACCCCCATCCAAGGCTACAGAGCCGGTCTCTCCCCCCAAATGCAGCTGCTCTGGACGCCCCTCCTCACCGGCCCCTGCGCTTCTCTTGCAGATGGGTACGCCTTCTCCCAGGAGGAACACGGAGCCGTGACTCAGGAGGAAATCGTCCGCGCCTATGACACCACGAAGCAGAAATCCAGGAAGAAGTAGGACGCTGCCTCCCGCCGGAGCGCAAGAAGAGACTCATGGCAGCAGCCAAAACACCGCAACACGTCCTGTGGCCTTAGCCCGTTCCTTCGCTCTGTGCCCTGGCGAGCCTGGACCCAGACTGCCGGGGCACCCCACGCCCTCCCTGCTCGTCCGCCGTGCTCGGCCCGACTCTTGTTTAAGCGTTCAACTGTGCGCTGTGAGGTGTGAAATTAAAACCATTATGTTTCCCCAGTATTTACACATCCGTCCGGGTGGCTCTGGGAGAACAGGGAGAGGTTTTCGTGCTGCGTGAGGAGCCCAGCTGGGGGATCGGATACCTGCAGGTTTGTTCCGCAGGCTGCACGGAACCTTCCCTCGAGGTGGACAGCCCGCTGGCTTTGATGTCCCCTGTGTTTGTATGAAGTTGGCATCATCACCTTGATTGCAGTGAAGTCATAAACATGGGTATCTGGGTGGTAAACCTGAGAAGAACTTTTGGAACCTCAGTCACGGTCTCAGCAGGGCGGACCCGCTGGGTCTGCACAGTCTCCTGACCCCTCCTGCCCGGCGCCTCCCAGCCGGGCGCCCCAAAACAGTCCTGCTGCATGGCTGGCCCTGTGCTTGGTGCATGGCAGCTGCGGGCACCTGCTCCGACCCTCACTCTCCCTCCTTCTCCCCCAGATTCAGAAACGGATGCAAGAAACCCCCCTTCTTCTCTATCTAAAGAAACAGCAATTTGCATATATTCCAAGTGTTTATCTTCCTCTTTCTGGCAACAAGGAGGCCTGCGGGTCAGGGTGATGTGGACTTGCTGGAGCCCTGCCTGCTTTGCTCAGGCTCGCAAACCTCATTTTCTGGCCTCCAGACCCCTGGACCTTGGCACCTGCTTAAATTAGAACCTACACTCGTTCTCTTGGGAGTTCAGAGCACATTTTGGATTTCGAGTAAATTTACAGCACGTCTCCCCAGCAAAGGAACACACCAGTCGCTCCAGACTCTGGGAGGATAAATAGCCTAGTGAGAGTCCCTGAAGGTGCAGAGGAAGACAGCCACTGCAGGGGAGTGGCGGCAGAGACACCGAAGGAGGACGCTTTTCCTGCAAATCTCAATAGAATTCTAAAATCAAGCCCGAAGCCCAGATAGTCGTCATGATCAGCCTACAGTGTCCACAGGCCTGCAGTCTTAATTGAACAGAGCTCCAGACATTTCAAGCAAGCGGCCTTTCTTACCTGGACAGATTTTCCTTCCTATCCTGCCCATGTTAGATGCAAGCAGCTTTCTGAACAGGAGGGTCCCAGATTCCAACACGGGGTGGCGGGGGGTGGGGGTTGGGGTGGCCACGTGTTTGTCCAAGTTCTGAACAGGACAAAACCCAGGTGCCTTCAGGCAGGAAGGCACCACCTGGAACCAGCCTGGAGGCATGTCCCCTACTTGCAGCTTTGTTGCCAAACCAGCTATTTGGATGGTGTAACATCAATACTTCTGGGCAGCTGTTGCTGGTTAAAACGACACAGTTCCCCTGGGGAGGGCCGTGCTAAATTACAAAATAAAACAGTGGGGCATTTTGCTTCCTTGGCTTCTTTTCAGAGCATCTGCGTCTGATTGGGCATTGAGATCATTTAGGGTATGATCTGCCTGGCTTACAGAAAATGAGAGGTGATGAGAGCCCAGAGAGGGCTCCAGCGCAAGCAGAACAGCACAGCAAACAGGCGAAGTTAGGAAAATGGCCCCTTCTCCCTTCCCAAGGTCTGAGACATTTTAAACACTAGGGCAACCAGAGAGAGGAGGGGTTGAGGACCCTTGAGCAGGAATCACAACAAAATACGTGCCTGTAATTAACACAAAGCCAGGCAGATGTCCCACCTTCACACACAGGAGGAGGAAGTCCTAAATACAGAGGAGAAATGAACCTCTGGATTGAGCTGCGCTAGGCACCCAGGACAATTTGGTGTCATCTGGGAACTAAGCCTAATTGGAAAAGGGAATTCAAACTCAATTTTTTGGTCAAACATTTGGCTGGTTCTTGAAGTCTTCCGAATCAGATTTGCGAATTACTGCGTGCACTTTTTTAGGGCTTTATCGTTCTCATTTTTCACGTTGAAATACAGTTCTGAGTTTTCGAGACTGAAGTATATTTTCCAGCTCTCTTGAGAAGTAGACTAAACAGCCTTTGCAGTCATGAAAGATGCACAGAGAAGGAAGCACTAGAGAGATGCCTTTCTATTTATTCTCTCCCACGATTAAGCTATCTTGTAGCCAAATGACTAAACTGGGTGTCCGGGAGGAGCAGCTGTCACTATGTGAGATGCGTGACATTCAGCTGGGGCGACTCGCGCTGTGTTGTTTGTCCTATCTTTAAATTGAGGTCAGAGTGTCGCACACAAGCCCTTCCCTGGGAGCAGGGTGGGCCGACTAAGCTCCACACTGTCAGCTCCGTGGAGATGCCACCTGGGAATTGTCACTCTGCCACACGGAACATGACACAGGCCAGCAGGTCGGCACTGCAGGGCCTGACATTCAATTGGGCTAAAATGGCAGATCCCACTCGGACCCAGTGCTGGGCTAGCCTGGTACCCAGACTGCTGATGCGCATTTGAACCTTTGCTCGGTGCCGGCTGCCTCTGCAGACAGACGAGAGCAGCCTCCCCAGCTCTCAGCTCTGCACCGGCAAGCACAGGTGGGTGCCTGCACGCCGAGAGGAGAAAATGAGAAAGCAGAAGAAATCAGCCATTTCTGCTGGGCTGTTGGGATTAGCCTGTGATCACCAGTCTGGGGGCTTGGTCATAATTTTTGGGTGTCACTGATGCCTCTAGTCTGTCTCTAGGCAGAATATTTCAGACTTCTTGACCAGTGTTACATTCTCCCATCTCCCAACACATACACACCCAACAACAACAACAACAACAAAAACCCCTGTGCTTTGGAGAAAGGAGATGCTGTGCCTTTAACATTTGGAGTGAAACCCTAACATGGAAGCCTGGGCTTTGGTGGACCACAGCTGAGAGCTGTGCTGGTCTTTGCTTTCCCCTGACAAGGCTTTAGGTCTTGCTGTAGGGAGCTGGCAGTGAAAATCTATAATCGCTTGTCCAGAAACCGTGAATCATGAAAAAGTGAGTATAAGTAACTAATATCTGAAAATGCATATAGACATAATATTATCAACTATATGGTTGAATTTTCTTTAAATAAAGCTCTAGTCTATCATCTCATTGTTATAATGACCCTTTATCTTTTTTAACCATAAAGAAGAGAATTTCCTATCATAGTCCCACTCCTAGAGATTTACATCCTGGACCACAGGTTGAATAGAATGTTTTCAAAGCTCTGCTCTAAGATAAGGTGGTCCTTAGTTTTGAACATGTGAAAGAAATACACACATTTCAGCCAGGGTTTGAATTACTGCCCAGGGTCACTGTCCCCAAGTAACTCAAAGGTGATTTAGGCTCAGCATTTGAAATGTAGCCTTTATCTCCTGGGAGCCATAAAGAATTTTAACAGGGAAACTGGTTAAGCAGAGCCTGAAATAATGTGGCAAAGAAGAGAATTTATCAGGTCAAGTTAAAGGATACCACCCCTACCCCATCATATTCATTAAACAATTTCTTCATGCAGATGCTTAAATTAGAAAATATACAAGTGATGGAGACAGTGAAAATAAAGCATCCCTTCCCAAAAAATAGAGCAATACAGCAGAGGCTCTATGGTTTTAAGTCTGTTCTTGGTCTCTGTAAGTCTTGGGGGAAAATTATTTTGCCTCATATTAGCCATCTTTCTATCTTGAAGAACTAAGAGGACAGAAGATTTTCCAATGGGTCTTAGAGGTCAGGACCTGAGATCCCATGTGATGACAAACTAACAAGTGTTCCCAAAAGGAAGGGACCCATGATACTCGACGTATCAGACTCTTCACTGAGTTTTTCTTGTATCCTCCAGTGCCCAGCAGCCCACGCCTCCACTCTTTTTTACAAGAGCTTCATTTAATGCCAGACCTCCCGCTCCAGCTGTTTAAAGGGCTTCTGGTTTTTTGGGTCTACACGGGAATCCTTCAGGCAGGAAGAAAGCCCAGGGAGCCCACAGCAGCTCCAAGTGGCTAGACTGTGAAACAAGCAGCAGTGGAGGAGGGGCACGCACCCCGCCCTGTCCCCACACCACGTAAAGCCCATACCTGTCACCCAGCAGAGCCCCCTGCTCCCCTGACTGGGGGGGGGGGGGCGGTGGACAGGAAGGAGACAAGAGAGTGATTCTTCTGACACCCAGGCCGGCTCGTTTTCAAGTGACAATCTCTCGTCCGAGTTGCCTTAGCGATATCTACTCCCAGGCATCAGACCAAGAAAAACACACTCCTGAGATTAGCCCATCAGCATTTCTCCTGACCTGGCCACAGAAAGGAGACCTGTGCATTTTAAAAGCCGGGAACAAAGTGTCAGGTGGCTTTGATTTATGACGGAAGAGGAAGAAGCAAGTGGAAAGACTGGCGCTATCCAAATAACCCTGCCCGGGGAAACCCGGGGTCAAGAGAGCCTTCTCAAGAGCCTCTCACAAGCCAGCCTGACAGTGTGGAGAAAGGGCCAGCAGAAGGGGGGCCGCCTGAGGGTCAGGATGTGAGCCCACTTCCTTCCGAAGGACCGGAGCCGGCCGGGGTCCTGAGACGGCTGGGCATGCAGCTGCAGGCAGAGCAGGAGACACCAGGTACAGAACAGAAAGACAACCTGCCTTGTCTCGGGGCCTCCCTCCTCCCCACGAAGTCCCTGCACAGGGGAATGCGTTTGCGGTTTTCCATTAATAAAGTCAACCCAAGTCCAGTCGCTCTTACTCCACCTGCCCTCTCCCGGGTGGCTGAGCTGGGAGGTGTGTTGGGCTGCCCCCTTAGTCCCCCCGCCCCCAGGGCCTGCAGCCCTGACAGGCCACCCTTCCGGCTGTGGTCTGAACATGCCACCCTGCAGTGTCTCCTTCACTTGGGCAAAGCCACGTGTTCTCCTTTCCATTGTCACATCTGTGCTGCCACTGCTGAGATGGCATTT